AGCAACTATAGCATAGTTTGTGATTGACTGGTGAGATAATTAAAAATGATCTTTATTTAATCTTTATGATGTTTGGGCAAACACTCAACTTTGACAGGGCTTCTTTTATCCATTAAGTTTGGCAACACTGGCACCTGGTTAGCTTATCTTTGCACAAAGAATGCAAACAAGGGGAAACAGGAAGTCTGGCTCAGTCCAAAGGTATTGAAATCCACCTATGCAGCAGCAACTCTAAAGCACACTACTTAATTATATGTCTTTTGTTAAATTAGTACAAAAACCAAAGTGTAAAAATGTAAAAGTCACTGTTTTGTGGTGGGTTATGTGCAAAGACAGGATTTCCTATAGCCTTTATGTTAAGCTAACTATCTCATGGCTCTAGATTCATATTTATCATACAGTGAGAGTGCTATTAATCTACAAATTAAGTTTTTATACAAGAAAACTGCAACAGTAAATACTTTTTGTAGGAAATGTAACACTGACTGGACTTTCTAGTTTTCTAGCTGAATGACTATATGTTGTTAATTTAGTCACAAACATGTTGACACTGACCGTATCGGTCACCTTTACCAAGTCACAGTCGTGCACTTCCATCCACGCCGACCACTTCCCAGCTGTTTATAAATGTAGAGCATATATTCAATAATGATAATAATGATAAACATATTTGCTGTCCTAAATCTTAGCAAGAAATCAAGTAAGCAAATTTCCCCAAATCAAATGTCAACCAGCTCTCAGTCTCTGACTATAAATAGCTACTCAAGTTTTTCCTCTAATCACACCAGTCCACCCATTCTCCTTTTGTTCGCCCTCCACTGGTCTCTTATCTATAACCATGAATACGTATAGTTCTGGCAAGGAAATCCAGCTGTGATAAGAGTAACATGTCTGGAATGCACAGAGAGACATTGAATAATTGGAGGTCAACAGAGGGAAGACTGGCTGCTGATGGTTCTCATGGATGTATCATGGATCAGTGCGCTGCTCTTTACAGCTCCGCAGAGAGAGAGAGAGAGAGAGAGAGAGAGAGAGAGAGAGAGAGTACAATGCACCCCACAAACAAGAATCTGGACCTGAATCAGCTTGTGTGTGTGTGTGTGTGCGTGTGTGCGTGCCCCTGACTGCAGGGATGGTGATAAGATAATATTGAGCTGTCAGGGATCAGCAGACAGTCTTTTCTATTTTATGGACTGTGAGAATTATGATGGACCATTCTAACAGTTTGTCCTTCCTGCCAATTTATTCAGTCACTGTACACTTGTCATCCAGTGTCTGCAATGTATCTGTAATGAATTTGATTATTTACAGATAATTTCAATGAGGATTTTACAACAGAATTAATCATTAAGGGACTGCTCTTTTCATCACATAATTATTTTAAGCCATGGTAGCAGCGTGGCTAATGCCAGTGTGTTGGTCCGTCACTTTGCTCCAGACTGAAATGTCTCAACAATTACTGAATGGATTGCCATGAAATTTGGTACAGACGCTCATGGTGCCTGAAGGAGGAAGCCTAATAATTATGAAGATCCCTAGACTGTTAATGTAGTGCCACCATCAGGTCAAACTTTCAATTTGGCTGACACTCCAAGTGCACTTTAGTCTTTAGTGCTAATTAGAAAATGTTAGCATGCTAACACGCAACAATTGTTGAATACTGAATACTGAACCTGCTAAGCACCAGCATGTTAGCATTGTCATTTTGAATGTTAGCATGTTGATGTTGGCATTTAGCTAAACTCACAGAGTTAACAAGGCGGTAGACGTTTTTTTTTTTTTTTTTTTTTTACAGCAGCGGCTTTGTGGAGTAAATTCTGCGTTACAGAGTCAATTCATGTTTGATATTTTTAATCTTTTCTCTGCAGACTGCTGCTCTGGGCCAAAACCGGCATAGAGTGAAGATAATTCAGCCACTTTTTGGGGAAATACTGACCAAACTTTTGAGAGAATAAACACAGTTTGAATTGTAGACAAAATTACATTTCAGTCAGTTTTCCATTTAGAGATAAGTCTGGCAATTTCTTTTCTTTTTTTCTTCTTTTTTCTTTGCTATTGTGAACAAATACCATAAAAACAATGAATCTGTCTCTCAATACTTTTGGACCTCCCTACCCTGTTTATGGCACTCAGTCCCAAGCCGCATACATCATATTTTGAAGATGGCTAATTGTTTTTTCTAAATAAGCTGGACATTATAATACTTACCTGTATTACCTTACCTTACCTTTGCTGGACCAGCCACAGATGTGTTGCTCTGAGTAATTACAGTATAGCTGGACGATGTATGATGGACTGATACAAAACAGCCTACAATATCAGCTTCATCATAATGAATGATGTCACCCAGTGCAATGGTGTGACTCATTTAAACTGTTGTGGACAGTGGATGTCTATGAAAAATGCAAATAAGCTAAATCAGGCTTTATTTTTTTATGGGGATCAGTTCATTATTGGTTTTGATAGATATATATTCTTTATAATAAATGCCCTGTGTACCCTTAGTAGGAGCACATTTTTCATACTTATCATATGGGGCCAGCTTCAGAGGATGCTCTGCAACTTGCAGGTTCAGCTCCACATGATGAATGTGCCTCTGCTGCGCCTCCATCTCCTCTGTAGCCTGATGGGAAGCGCATGAATGCAAGGGAGCACAGGGTACACTAACAATACAATGAGAGCAGTGCTAATGGGCTGGGGGGGGGGGGGGGGGGGGGGGGGGGGGGGGGGGGGGGGGGGGGGTTGGCAGATATCTGGGTAAAGAAGTTGTTTGAGAAATGTTCTGGCCCCCTTTTACGCTTATACTGTCAAAAATGCTCTCGAGAGGGGTAATCTACACACGGTGATGTATGTTTTATATATTGCCTGCATTTTCAACTTTACAGACTCTGAAGCTGACATACAGCATTTGTTTCATGCAGGGCAGATGCATTTAGAGTGAAGGCACATTACTAACTCTGAGCAACAGTCTGGCTTCAGGGGTGAGTGATCTGTATTCCACTCCCATCACTCTTGTTTTCATTTATTTTCATAATATTTCATCATTGTCTTTTCCACCTCAGGATGTAGCCTAAGGGAGCTATAAACCGCATCCACCATTCTTGTATCAGCATTAAGGTTCGGCAGTATTGGGGACTTTTGTAGCTGCGAATGAAGCAACATTTCTGTGATAGATTTTGAAATATTGGCATTGAAAGCAAAAATGATCTTTGGCTAAATTTCGCAGAGGCACGCCTAAACTTTCATGGCAGATGTTCAGTTGCTTTTTCCTCCCACACCTGATATAACTTGTCCTCCATTTGACCTCTGGGTTTCCGTTTCCTCCAAGTGGCCCAATGTAGCTCTGGATTAATGGGTTCATTTCTTATGCAGTGTGATTGGTTTACTGTGAAAGTTAACATGGCTGGAGCGGATGATAATGTATCGGGTGTTATCTGTCGCACACAATCTGCAGTGTCTGGATGAACACCAAGAACTCTAACAAAACACAACATAATAAAAATTAACAGGAATCCCACAGGATAAATTTATCCTCAAAATTATTACACAATTGAATACACAATGAGTTTGGACCACAGCTTGCTGAAAGAGCAACATATCAAGCTCCATTCAAGCATTCACTGCCAAATCAGCAAAAAAAGAGGAGTTAAGTTTGAGATTCTACTGGAACCCATAAACACATCAAAGACAAGTTTAGGCTGAATTTAATTTGATATCCTCATTCGTTTAACCACTTTCATCTTTTGTCAAGTGAATAAATTTGATTACAAAAGATAGGCTAATATTTAATATGACCTTTTCATAACACTTTTTCTATAACCACTCTAAATCTGCATCAACAATAGAAAATAACGATATAATATTATATTATATAATAGTGTTATTCTGAAAAATCCATATTTGAAGCTAATGAGAGATTTTGAAAGGCTGATAAATGGAACATTTGGAAAGTTTCCAAATGCTGTTGCTGAGCATTATCTACACGGTTGGTACTTTTATATTATATTATAGCAGTTTATTTGTGATCCAAGCTAGCAGTTATTATACCAACTGTTGAAGGCTAATGTGTCATAATTTCAATAATTTAAGTAACTGCTAAATTACTGTTGGGCTAACTGTTATGTATTTTAGTCTTTTTCTCTTTTACTCTTGTGGACTTCATGTGCATGTGTATCAGATTCAACACTGTGTTTTACCTCAAATGGGGGCTTCATGTTGTTCTTTCACCCCTGATAATTTGTTTTCCCCCAGCATGAGGGGCAACATGAGTAATTTGACGGTTATTTTTGTGACTCCAGTGTCCTTGTTACTGCATTAATTCATTTTTACAACAAAGGCTAACTCCTGATTTTGTAATCTCATCTTTTTTTGATTTGTAATCGGTTTGCACGGTGTCAAATTGCTTCCATTTAAGATTTCAGCTGCTGTCTTCACCCTTTATTCTAAGGGTGTTGATCTCGCTGCATAGCTGTGAACCTAAATGCTTAGTGAAGGCAGAAGATTTGTAAAAACTTGTAGTAATAGCAGATGAGAAAAAAGATAACAGAGCTCACAACTCTGTACTCATGAAAAATTTAAGCCAAACTGTCTTCTCAAACTGAAACGGTCTTCTTCAGATTTATTCAAGTGAATTGTTGAATTAGTAATTTTCTGTCACAGTTTGTGTGGGGATTTTATTACGAAAACAATACAGTACATTAAAATACATTGCAAAGTTGATACAAGCTTACAAAATGATCATTGTTTTTACTGTTAAATACACAGTGTCAGGTGCAGCCCAGCAGGAGGCAGTGTACAGACACTACCGGCACTTCAAGATGAATATCCATTTTTAGATATTTTTTATTTGCCAGCAAGCAGTTCACTCTTCACATTGTTCCACTGCAGTGTAAGGTCATACTGCTCACAGGACAGGAAGTCCCTCCCTCATAGTCAAGTCCGTTCACCGTTCTCCTCTCGTAGACCTCTGAATAACAGAAATGAAGCCTTGGACCTTTTTCTTTTTTTTTTTAGATGGAAGAATCCAAAGGTTCGTGCAGTCTCTCTCTTCTGTAATTGTGCCTGTGTTTCCTGAAAAGAAACCAAGAGATAAATTTAGACCAAACAGCACTGACAAACCATACACTGGCTTGAGCTGACTGTGATTGTTGTATTGTCAGCAGACACACCCTGGCCTGTCATACTCCATGTGTGTCATATATCATGTGGGAGGACTCTATAGCTTCTCACTGTTTTCACTTTGTACCCTCATTTTTTTTCTCTCTCCTTTCTAAAGGAGCTACTCCCCTGTGTCTTATTTTCTCTCAGTGTATGGTTTTATGATCAGAGCATAGCCTGAAATGAGATTTGTGACTGTGCCTGCCGCTGTCTATGTGCATTACTGTACCACCACAGCAGAAATGCCAGCACTCCTCCAAACAGCAGCAGGAGGACGAGACACACTATAGCCGCCGTCGTTCCTCTGCCCTCTGTCTCACACGGTGCTGTCAAGTAGGAAAAAGAAGATGATGAGATGAGGGGGAGAAATAAAAAAAATAAAATAAAAACAAGTCATCTGACATGGCTGCTCTTAAAGGCCAGAGAGGTCAACTGCAAAAAGTCTGCACAGTCACTTATACTGAGTGTAAGAGCACAAGCTAACAGGAGGTATCCTGAAATACCCTGAGTGTCTTCGGATCATCACGCCTCTTGGCAGATACGAAGAACTGCATTTGTCTTGCCTGTTTAGCAGCAGGAGCAGTAGAGGTGGTAGTGATTTATTGATCCCACTGTGGAAAATCCTTTATCACTGAAACACCACCAGTGATACAATACACAGAACAAAGTGCAATCAGGACACGGCTCAGGTAGACACAAGCCATGGTATAAAGGAGTCTGATGAGCTGACTTTAAATAAGATGTCAGTAGGCACAGCCACCTTTTCATCCTATCGACTGTTGTCATGATCTCATAATTGAAGTATTTGGCTCCTTTTTATGTCAGTAAATGTAGTGACACAGCAATTTAAAGTACTTTATTAGTACAGGTCTTTTCGCTTGGTACAAATATGGAACTATTGTTTGCAAAATGAACTTAATCTATCAAACTTTAAACTTCTCATGAAGTGTGAATGTAGAATGTCCCCTTTCAAAATATCATATTTATTATTAATGGGTCATTATTACTGATGCATTAAGGTGCATCGAGCATTTGTTAATGTTGCAACTTGGAGAAACTCCTAGAAATGGAGTAGATTCTTACTACTTCACATACAGCTGGGTAGTTAAATCCTTCACCAATCATGCATGTTTGATTTGCATGCATTTTTTTAAGGCTGCTCATATATTTTGTATGTAAAACTGTAATGTGCAAAACTGTCAGATAAATGTGAAATGAAGTAAAAAGTACAATATTTTATTCTGGAATTTCTTGGTTGTGTAGCAGCAGCATAAAATAGAAATTTTTACATAAAGTACAAAGGTGTACCTGATGTTTTTTTTTGGCTACTTGGAGCATCACAACAAGCTGTACGCACAACACTGACATGTTGATATGGTGAACTTGTTTGAAAACAGTTTCCTATTTACACATCCAGCAGACAGGGAGCAACCTTATCATTTATTTGGAGTTCTGTTTCTGGCCACCAAGATTCAGTCTCCACCAGGTAGGTGAAGGGAAATATCAGGCCCTTTAGCTGCTAAATTCTCCACTATGTCCACCACCTAGTGGCTAACTCTGTATGTCTGCTGTTTGGTGATAGCAGGCCAGAGCTTTTCACCTGACTGTGTCTGGAAGCAACACTGATGAATGTTGGGGCCATAAACCAAAACAATGAGCTGAAAGATGCTAAAACGATGTAGAGCTGATGGAAAATACAAAGTCAGGTGGCCATAGTTATTTTTCCATTGTTAATATTAATTTGTGTAGCTTTAAGAAAGGTAAATAATACAGCAAATGCACTTTGCAAATCTCTGCAAAGTGCACACAGGCCATACATTTCCAAGCGCAATGTTAGAGGCACAGACAAACAACAGTGTCAAAATCCCACCTGCAGTGTAGGTGGCAGAACTGTAGCCCAGTTTGTTGCTAACCATACAGGTGAAGTGGCCACATATAGGGGTCATGGTCACTGACAATGTCGCTCCATCTGGTGAGACATTTCCCACAGTCTTGGTGATGGCGGCTCTCTCGTGGAGCCAGTAGAAGCGTGGGTCCGTCCCCCAGGCCTCGCCGCAAACCAGTGAGGAGTGAGACACATTGATGCTGACGGACACTTGGTGCACTGCCTCTGGAAAGGTAGAAGAACAGAGTGTGAAAATGAGAGATAACCATGGAGGTAAAAATGTATTGCTGGATAGAAACAAGGGGAGATATGAAGTGTTCAGCTGTAGGCGTCAATCTATTATAAAATTAGAATAATGGCACATGGCCGTCCAAGAGGGTCTAAGACAGAGAATCATGGGAGATGTTTAATGCTGTCAGGAGAAACTGGCTCAGTTTCACAGACAATAATGGGACCGGAGAGTGAGGCCTAATGTCGGAGAATGGGATGATGGAAAACCCTGAAAGCTGAGAGAGCAGATGTAGAGAAGAGTGGAGCTGATGAATTGATACCGTTAGAGCAGACAGATGAGAGTAAAAGCAAAGAAGCTTTTGACGGAAAACTAGAAAGCTACAGCGAGACCGAAATCATCTAGAAGCACAGAAACAAAGAGAGAGACCCACAAAGCGGTGCCCATAGGCAAATTTAATTTCATTATTAAATGAGACAACCGCCATCAGAAAGAAACAATGCCTGCTGGCGTGAAATTAAAGCACATTCATAATACCATTGGTAATTGTTGGAGTTAACTCTCCAAAGGTCAGCTGAAGATCATTTGAAATATTTCTGCTTTCATATCATTACTCTGAGATGTATGTTTATGAGACTTCTTCTTCTTTTTTTCTTTTTTTTTTAACATAAACTGCTGTTGTAAAAATTAAAACAAGACTATGTAATGCTGCTCCGGAGCAGCTGCTAAATGGACTTTGTGGTTGTTTTTATCAACAAAGAAATTCAGTCTCTATGAGATAGAGAAAACATGCAAATCCTTCAAATGTCGGTCACTTAACACTCCATTTTTAGCTTGAACACACCTTCAGAAAAATCCATTCAGTGTGACGGGGGTGTGGTATACCAGGGAACATGATAGATCTTTTACAGAGTTGTATTTTTCAGCCTACAGGAGAGTAAGGGAAGGAAGTAACTTCTGTAGAATGGGACCAGGATCAGTTGAATACTGATAAAGTATTGACTCAAGTTCTTTAAAATGATTATTCAATTATTGAAATTGATTGATTTTTAACTACCCTATTAATTGAGTAATTGTTTCAGCATCATCTGTAATGTGCACAAGAGACTTCACAGTAAATTCCTTCACATGCCGTGCATCATACTGTACCATATTCCCTGACAATGCAGTGTGCAGGGGTCTTGGCTCCTGTGTGATCCGTCACAGTCACAGTGTACACACCGCCGTCCGCTCTGCTGTATTCATTAATCTGAAGTGTCGTTTCCTGCTGCTCCACGTTCACACGGACCTTTGGCCTCGTGCCAACACACTTGAAGCTGTCGCCAGGGCAGGTAGCCAGTGTCACTCTCGTGGGGGCTATTCCAGTTTCGGGCTCCCGTTCCCAGGTTACTGTGGAGACCTCCTCCAGGGGTCCGTGCTCTATCCGGGCCTTCAGAACCAGAGCGGAGCCGGGGATTACATGCACAGGCTGCTCACTGAGGATGTGCACTGACATACACTGGAGGCCACATGGCACTGAGGGCAGAGAGTGGACCATTTCTGTGTTACTGCATGCTCATCAGTGTCTGGTGCTTAAACTCACCTGCCTCATACAGTATGTTTTCCCATTCTGCTGGCCACGATGACCCAAAGTATTTCATATTCATCAGTTTTGACCTTTTGGGGTTTGCACTATTTGGGCAGAACGGGAAGCTAATAAAACAAACAGTGGCATAATACTTCATCTCCGTACTCAGTATGTGCTTTATGAATATGTATGGCTGCTTTCTGTCAAACAATGTCAAGCGATGATTTATAGTGCACAACAGCCATGCCTAATGTGATATCCATCAAACCACATCAATATCCTAAAATCTGTGTCACAACTGCAGTGGACCTGGTAAGCCTGTGTGCATTTACCTCAAGGAGTATTAATCATGTGTCTTAACTTGATAGGCAAAGGATGGAGGAGATGTAAATAATGCAAATGTGGCCATCAATGCAAACAGCAGTTTACAGCAGTTCTTTTGCATGTGTGTCAGGGTGCTCTCGGAGATTTGAAGGATAGCTTCACAATTTTGCAAATCTATCTTTAAACAGTAGTCAGGTGCCCATGTGTACAGTGAAATCATTTGTTATGACCACTATAAGAACCTTTCCTAATGCACTTTCAGTGAAGTGAGCAGTCCTGGCAAAAGACTTCTTGTCTTCTTGTCAAAAAACAACCCCATAGGTTGTCTGTGCAGGCAGCTTGTTCTAAGCCATAGTTACGCTGATGGGACTTTCACACAGCGATTGCTGTTCATTTCCTGTGTGAAACATATAGTCAACTTGTTTCTTCTAACCATGACTGGTCCACATGCTTTAACGCTTGTTTATTATTGTAACCATGATGACAAAGGTCCTTTAATCTTAATGAAGTTTTTACTTTAACCCAAACTGTGATCTTTCCCTAAACCTAACCAAGTAGTTATGATGCCTCAAGTTAACCAACCTGTTACCACAAACTTATTCTTGTTGCCATGATGACGAAGGCCCCGCTGGTACACATCTATGGGTTGTATCCGTGGGTACGGACAAACGACCTATATGGTTGTTTCGGTTGGATGACTGGTTGGTCTTTACTAAGGCTTCAGCAGTCTGTGTTAGACAAATCAATTGGATATCTTCTAGAGTTACAGCCAAATTCCCTTTAGTATCTCTGCACAAAGTGTTTCCTTGTTGAGCTGCAGTGGAAGGATAGACACAAAGAGGCCATTTGTACTAAAAAGGCTGTAACTTTAGAAGATATCCACTTGATTTGTCTAACTCAGACTGCTGAAGCCCTGCATTACCTTCGGATAAACTCTTGAATGTATTCATGCACAAAATAAGGACTGTGGATTTTGCCCCCCCACCCCTTATATTGAAAGCACAGGAGGAAAGATTACAGCAGGCGAAACCTGCTTTAGCGTTCCATGGGCAACTGACTGTTGTTTTAAGACTGAATTCATATTTTATTTTATTCGTTTTTCACTAAAAATCATTAGGATGGTGCTGACAACAAAAAGTCTTACTTAAGAGAAGCAGCAGGGCAACTCTCCAGCACAGGAAATTCTGTCGATCCATAACACCTGCTGATGTAGATAGAGAACAGAGAGAGGAATTTGTCCATGACCTCAGCAACAGCACACCATTTCCTCTGTACTCATGCAACAGGGGTGCCACCATAGCAAGACTAATAACACCACCTCCAAAGAAAATGCGAAATTAGAGTGAGAGCAACAAACAATTAAAGCAGCATGTACCTCTATTAAAAATGTAATCCAAATGGTTGGGGTATTCTTTTTTTTTGTTCTTAATTTATTTGTGAAGTATCCAAAGAACAACAGTATTGGCACTGCAGACGGCACTAGATTCAGAAGTTGGAACAAAATGAGGACAGGTCTGCTGCCAAAATTAAAATGAACCCCCTCAAGCACAGCTGCTACAACAAAAAACACAGAGAGAGGAAATACTGATAGCAGCGCATGAACACAACCCAACCTGCATGCATTAAATATAACCTGGAATTCACCTCGCTGTTTACCTTGAAGTTATCCACATCAAAACCCACTAGAGTAAGATTCACGTACCTTTCCAAAGGTGAGGCAAACAATACCGTCGAGCCAGAGCTCCTCCGCTCTGTGTTCACTTTCTCAGAGGTTAAGGTGCAATGCAACTCAATCAGCGAGTAGATTTATGGCCCAAAATAAAACAATATCTTCAAAGCAATTGCCATCGAGAAATAATCTAGTTACAGATGAGAGTTCCAGATCTACAGCTGTTACAGCAAACAACATCAAACAGATGTTAAGCTAAAATGTTTGTGGACCTTCTTCTTCTCCCTCTGGCCTTTTGTGTCTGCCTGTCAGGTCCAGTCAGTGAGTCACATATAGGCGTCACCTTATTTTCAAGCAGTTTCCTCCCCCCCTCTCCAACTCCCCCCTCTCTTTCCTGTACAGTAGAGAGTTCTTTCTGCTTTGTGTTTTAAATAAGTGAACTTTCCATTGTAAAATCACCCCTCCTTTCTCCCAACTCCCCCCCTTTCTCTGACCTGTGTCCGAGCACATGCTCCCACAACAATACAACATGTTTGATTTTGGATTTTCACACCACTGTTTTTGCACTGTTAGTAAACAGATATAAAAGAGATAAAATGCAATGGTATTCATTTGAAGGGAAACCAATGACAATGTTGGAACTCAGTCTTATGAAACAGGCTTTGTGCTGCAGATTTCTTATCCAGCATGAACACCATTTGCCCTAAAGACACTATACATTGTCTTGGCTTTGGAATGTAAAGATGAGCTAATATATGAATTACTCTATTCCAATTTTTTTCACGAATTGTTCCTCGCATGCAACTGAGAGACATCTCCAAGCACGTGAAGGGGAATGCCAATGATTTTACTCTCTTTCCCCTGGGAGAGTTTGGTTGGTCTGTGTGAAGTTGGAGAGAAGACCCTTAAATTCAAAGTCTGCTTCATTAACAGTGAATCCGGTGCTGATTTAATGGAGTCATATTGGAATTAAGGTCATGTTGTGACCTTTTCCAGCACATATAAATCAGAATTTAAGCATCAGCTGGTGGCAAGAACAGGGAAGAAAAATCTTCCATCAAACAAGGTGACGTAATAAGATCAAAAGCTCCAGAACAGCTACTAAATAGCCTTGAGATGAGATTGTTTTGTCAGCTGAAGACCTATTTTACTCTACTAGAGCAGTGAAACATAATGACATCAGTTATTTCAGGCTTAGCTCTGCAGTTTTTCACTTTAGGAAATGCATCCTGGGGCTCAGATATAAAAGGTGATTTAAAACTGATTATAAATCCATTTGTATTTGCAGAGGGGTTGTGAATAATCATGGGAATAACAGCTGTGGCTCCCTCCGAGTCTTTTGTCTACAGAAGAGTGCTGTTAGCTGGGATTAGCCAGTGGGTGGCACTAATACATCAGCTGAAAAAAAAATCAACACTTTGCCCTTGTATTGGCCTCTTTTTCTTTTTTTTTTTCATAAATCAACATATGCTTCTGGTTCCATATGCAAAATAATTAGTGTCTGCTTTTGCTTCACATTTATCCATATCATTGCAGTGAACAAATTAAGAAAAGAATTGAAGGCATAATGTTATTACCTCCATACAATTTTATCAGCCACTTCATCAGATCATAGCTTCCGTGTTACACGTGAGGAGTGATAATATAAATGACCATGAATTATGAATGTCCAAAGGGCAACAATAACCATTAAGAGAAAATAAAATTATTATATCCTCTGAAAAGTGATATGGTTTCTGTTATCAGTGTGGCACTATCTCATTCGCTCATCAATATGAATTTCATTAATCTAAAACCCTTTCAACAAAACAGAAACATAAGAAAAATGAGTTTAAACCCATTACATTTATGTATGTATTTATGTAACCAATTACATTACATTCATGAACATGTTTTTGTCATATGTGGACTGTAAAATATCGAATACTGTAAGATTTACTTTTCGTATTTACTCCTTGATTCTTAATGTTATCATTCAATGTATCATATCAACATATCAACGCTATAGTGGACAGGAACAATGCACATCTATTAAAGTACTGTACTTAAATACAATTTTGAGGTCCTTTTACTTGACTTGAGTATTTACATTTTATGCTATTTTAGTTACTTTTCAGTTTTATTTAATTTTTAATTAATTAATTAATTTTAATTTGTTAATTTCGTCATGTTTTTATGTTAAATCTTAATCTGAAAAGTTTAGTGGAGTACAACGTCTACAATATTTCCTTCGTGCGGCACAATTTTACCTTGGAACAGTGCTTGCACATATATGGCTGCGGGCCCTTTAAGAGAACAGGTGTGTCCTTGAAAGGTAACAGTCAAGGAACAGGAAGTAAACGCTTTAATTAGCAAACACAAGCCAATACGCAGCTATTTTTCGGTACAAAAATGAACGTGACTGCAGGGGAAAAATACTTCGGTGAGTCTTAAAAAGATGATTCTCTTATCAGTGCTCAGGAGAAAATATTTGTTTTTTTGTCAGCTATAAACTGAACTGAATGGTGTGTATATATAGCACAGTAATAATAGCAAGGCTCCTGTACAGCCTTTATTGGACAAAGTCTGTTAAAAAAAAAAAAACTACTAAAAACTGCTAAGATTTATCAGACTTCATAGCAAAAGTAATTTTGTATATTAAAGAGTTTAATCTCTCCGCAGACCGGCCTGACTGACGACATGAGACAACCTTTGCTCCTTATCAGCCTGTCACTGGCAGGTAAAACAATTTGCACCGACAGGCTCCTCTTCCGTTCAAACGGTTCAAACAGCTCACAAAAGTCTCTAAAGAGTATCGGTAGAGTCAGTACTGTGGGGGGAAAAAAACAGGGCAGGGAAGAGAAGCTGTGGTATTCCAGACACGTGTTTAAAACAATTGCATTTCAAGTAGAAAGCTCGCCTTAACTGCTCTTAAACCTGCGCGGCTGCATTCCCATCTGTGCACTGCCTACTGAGTGACGTGATGCCTTCACGGACTCCTCCCAGGCTCCTGCATCTGAGCTTTCAGGCTGACCCAGAATGACTGGGAGATTTTTGTTTCTGTTTGTGTATTTTGTTGATAGGGATGGGCGATGCTATCGTTTTAGAATATAATGACAAGCTACATGGCTGTTGTTCATGCATGAACAAAAGGCCTACTGCCAATACAGATACTTGGTTGTTGTTCATGAAAATAAAACTTCAACATGGTTATTATTAAGTCCAACTGAACTGGCATTTAATAACAAATACCATGGCCTATAACCTGACCATTACGATTCGATAAATAAACACAGGGAAGACAATATCCTGAACTTTTACACTTTCAAAACACGTGTAATACAAAAATATAACAAATATTTCATATAGATGCATAAGTTGAGCCTTAATCAAAAAATAAACATGAAAATTATTTGTGAAGATGATCTGAAGGAGGAATCCTGTGATATGGGTGTTGTTGTGCCTCCAAGGCCTGGTCACCAGCACAACATGCAGAATTTAACTAACAAGGCTGGTGGTGAAGATCAAAACCAACAATGTATTGATTTCTCTAACAAGTATTGTCCATGAAGCCAGAGCCTGATGTGGCTTATTCCTCTGTTACAAACATGAGTTTATTTTGAATCAATCCCACATGCCGTAAAAACTCACAAGAACACTTAACAAATGCACTGTGGTTCTCATCTGTTTAGGAAAACTACATAAGAACCTTTTACATAAAAAATCAAAACCATATATATTTTTTGTCTTTAATGAATTACGACTTAAGTAGGAACGAATGGGCTTGGAGGACTGACAAGTGGGAAAATGTTGACAGGCTAACACATCGCTGGTTTTGATCTTTTCATGGCATTTGTGACATTTGTATGTTTGTAGAGATCTTGTATGAGTAGTGTATCTGTTATTGTAGTACCACTTTTTTCCATTCAAAATTTCTTGTTAGGGTTATACTGGTTATACTGGTATGACAGTATTGGATGCATGAAAATGAAAACGATCAAGCAGCAAAGATCTGCTTTTGGTGTTTGTGCTGCTGCAGCAAGATGAGCAAAGAAAATAAGCACTGGGAATGTAAATGATATTTTAATTTGTTCATTAACTAAGGGTTGTTGTTCATGCATGAAAGATAATAATTAAAGTAATAATCAGCAACATTTTCATATAATTAAATATTCATTTAGCGGCTGTCTATTGGCAATTGATATTACACAAAAGTGAAACAACCTACACTGTTCGTAAAAAGCTTTTTTTTCTGTTCTAAACGCCTGCGGTTTGGTAGATGTGTCTCTGACAAGGATCCTTTGGTGCACAAGAAGTTATTTATTTTACATTTCCAGAAACAGCTGTTAGCTTGGAAGAGACGGATTATTAGAATGAACAGTTATACCCATCAGACCCACATTCAGAAACCTGAAGCTCAGCAATGGAAAGTGAAAACTTTTCTGGCTGCCAGTTAATCTCTGTGGTTTATAGTTTTATCATCAGTTAATTTCATTGCACTTATTGTCATGATTTCTGGGCTCCTTGCCATTGTTCATTCAAGGTATCTGCATCTAAATCACTTACACAGTTTTATATTAGCTATAGTAATCAGTTGTAAGATATTCAATTCTTACAGTCATATTTCCTACTTATTTGAATTGCCTTTGTGTTCTGGCCCTGTATAAACAGTCCAACAGGACGTGAAGGCAACTGAAACTGTGCTGCGTCACCCGTGGGTGATCCTCCCTCCTGACTCAATGAGTCTTTATCTTTCTGTCTCTACTGTAAAGGCAACGAGGCCACTGATATTTTCAATCGAGCGCCGAAACACTTGTTGTCTTTAACGCCTCAGTGTGGAAACCAATCCATATAGCTGCTGGCTCTTGTCATTTTATACTTGGCTCTCCTGTGAGAATCGTGTAAAGGCAGTCCAGCGAGACTGATCAAGACCATATTGATTAGAATCACTATAATTCATTGGCCAGAGCGCTCTTGCGTGGTAGCTTTATATGCCAGTAAAAGGGCACTGAAAATTCAGTCTGGGTTTCCCTGCCTTAATCTGTAATACCAACACAAACAAGAGGAAGCACTGGCAGCCAAATACAAAAACAGCAGATTCTTTTTTTTTCCATCCATCCTCACTCACATACAGATTACAAATGGACAAACAGCATACATCAGTTAAATGCCTGAATGTGTAAAATCAATGGTTCCTTATAAGGTTTTTGAAAAATTGCCTATGCACCACTGATTCTTGAGAAGGGAGACGGCAAATATGATTCTGACACGGCTTATGTTAAGTCAGGCTAGCAAAAACACAAAATAGATGTTTAGCTTGGGATCACTTACAATCCAAAAAACATGGTGTGAAATCCGCAAGGAAAAAAAAGTGTGTGTACCTTACTAATGGGTTTTTACCCCTTGAGCCCAGTCTGTGTGTATCTATAGATTTAGTTCTCTGCGGTGGTGAGAGCAGTATTAATACCTTTCTGGGCCTCAAACAATTATTTAAATGGAACCATCTGAGAAGTTTAGAGGGGAAACTGCTAACAACTCTTAGACATCTGAAAGGTGACAAGGGGCCCCAACAAGACATTGTTAATTTGTAACGTCTCATAAGATAGAAATGTTTGAACCAGTGGTTTGATCTTTCATAGTACATTGTGTTGTTTATCATGTGTTTTTAATGTAAAACCTGCAACTGTAGCTGTCAAAATTTCCACCTGAAATGTTGTGGAGTAGAAGTATAAAGTAGCATAAAATGAAAAGAGTCAATTAAAGCTCTTAATTAAGTAGAAAATGTACTTTTCTGCCACTAATTCTCCTTTTTTTTCTGTTTAGTTCTCCTCTCTGTCGACGTGCTGCTAGCTCAGGACCAGGTACAGATCGAGTTCCAGATCGACCCGGTGCTGGTTCAAACTGGTACTGAGATAGTGTTTACAGTGCTGACAGTGCCTCAGATCCTGTCTGTGACATGGGAGTACCAAGGAGGAGTGGCTCTGGGTGTGTGGGCTGGGGGAACAGCAGTGGTTGATACAGTGCCCCAGTTCCAGGGCAGGGTCACCATCACTGCCACCCAGCTCCGAATCGGAAGCGCCCAGCTCCGAGACGCGGGGAACTACACAGTGAATGTGGTACCCATTGCTACCACAGGCCTGACTTCTAACTCCAGATCAATACAGCTGAGGGTGTTTGGTAAGAGATAAACAGTGTGCCCGTCAGTTCATTTTAAGAGAGACGAGGAGGGAAGTAGAAGATGGGAGGGCTGGTGGAGTGAGCGGGAAAGGGAGGTTTTGAGTGAAGCGATAATGTTAAGGAGGACCAGAAGGGAGTAAAGAGAGAGGAGAGGGAGGATTTGGGAAGTAAGAGAATTAGTCTGGGAGGTATAATGAAATTAGTGACCCATAGTAGGCGAGGTAAAATTAATGAAAAAGGAGGAGGGGATGAAGCTAGTGGCTCGGGGCTTTATGCTAATCAAAACTCATTTGATATGCGGCGCTCATGCTCTTAGATGTTTGATATTGTAGCATTTTAGATGTAGCGTTACATCTACATTCAGTACATACAGTACTTGCATTCATTTACAGTCAGTATTGTTATAGAGCTTGAACTTGAGCTCAGTGTCTCTCTTTATTTTCAGTCGTCCACCCACGCCACAGGGATGATGTACTTTCTTTCTCATCCCTGTTACCACAAACAGTAGTTGGTGGGGGGGTCACATCCTCGTAACTCACAACAGCTAGCTCATGACATGGAACAGGTGAACCCTTGAACAAGACTCTCAACCTCCCACTTACTCACACGAACTTACTCTGGAAATGAGAGGCAGCTAAAACTCTAAAATATAAAATGCTACTGCTGAGTCACAGGCAAGTGGAAAGTCTGCAGAAATGCAAGTGATTGGAGCTATTTAGTAGTTGCTTGAATGTTTGTTTGTTTGCTGTTGCTGCTGTGGTTCTCTCTTAGTCACTGCCTCCTCCTCTGTCCATACGCCCTCTCTTCTCCCTCTCCAATTATTTAACTTAGGCTGCCCGCCAAGAGGCATCTCGGCTACCACTCATACCGTCTGCCCCCTTATTCACCATCTGTGCTTCTATCTGAATCCTGTCCCTTCCCAGCTCTCACTTGCTTTGATTACAACAAATTATCCTCCACAGAATAATAAAACTGCCCTCTATTGTCCTGTCACTCCAACTTTTGAAGTGTGTTCTCTTATACTGTCATGCTCTATACCAACAGTAATAATGCCATTAGATACCTCTCCTGGGTAGTTCTGTATTCTGTTAGAGAAATCTTTATTTTTTTATTCTCCCTGTAGTTCCAGTGGCCGGGGTGAGTCTGGCTGTTCCCTCAGTGGCGGTGGAGGGGAGAAATGTGTCTCTTAGTTGTACATGGACTGCTGGGACAGAGACTACAGTCCAGTGGGACAAAGGAGGCACAGCCATCACTGCAGACTCCAGGATCACCATCTCAGGTGGCTCTCTGGTCATCAACCCAGCCAGACGGGATGATGCCGGGGAGTACACATGTATCGTCAGCAACCTTGTCAGCGCCCAAGCTGCCACAGAGAGCCTCACTGTCTTCTGTGAGTTTACACTGATCAAGACAAGTGGCAGCTAATCTGCTGTAGTCACTGCAAATAACAGTAGCTTATCTGCTTATCCATATTGCACTGCGTACAGTGTGCTGAATCACACTCAGATTGCACAGGACATTCTTCCATAAGCTTATTGTGCTGCTTCTGTCTTCATCACATCATTAATTCTAATGTGACAGTCTTACAGTAATATCCCATACTGCAATGACTACCCTCCGCATTCCTGTTCTCTAACATCTAACACATTGCACATTTGCACTTAAGCCAATGTATGGCAACTTAGAGAAAGTGAGAATAGATTGAATCTGAGCTATCACCCTCACGGGGGCTGTTGCAGTACTGCTTTCTGATTAAAAGTCATAAAAATAGAGGTGCAGCTAATGATTATTTTTCTTATTGGTTCATCTCCAGATATTTTCAGTCTATGTACTCTGAGAAAATAGTGTAAAATGCCACTTTCCCAGAAGCTAAACCGACATTTTGAAATGTCATGTTTTGTCTGATCAACAGTTCAATACACAGAGACATTTAATTTACAATAATATGAAACAGAGCCACAAATCTGCACGTTTGAGAAGTTAGACAAAGCTAGTATTTAGCGTTTTTGCTTGATGAATGATTTGTTATACGATTAATTTTAAATTAATTGAATGACAATCATCAATTAATAAATTACACATTGTTTTGTTGACCAGTGTAGCTCTTTTTGAGAAATATGCTTATTTGGTTAAATGGTCTGTTTAATATGAAGCTGGAGCCAGCAGCCTCTTATCTTAGCTTAGCTTAGCTTAGTTTAGCTTAGTTTAGCTTAGCATAAATACTGGAAACAGGGGAAACATCCAGCCTTCCTCCAGCACTTGTAAAGCTCGGAAATGATTATGTAATATTTAAATTTTTGCATCCATCCAAAAACTAAAGGGTAAAAACAAGTTGTGGTTTTACATGGGGTTATGTGCTAGAGTGTTTCTTGAGTGAGCACATTGACTTGTAGTCACATTGAGGTTGCCAGGCAACCAGCGGAGACTCCAGGTACTATAGTCAGTGAATAAGCTTATTTCCCAAATGTCGAACCATTCCTATTAGGAATCTGTTTTACTTTTTATTGCCATATATAGCTTGAAATGAGAGTCTTTTTTAAGGGTAGTATGTAAATTCTAGTCTAACACCAAACTGTGTTGAACAGCAGGATGCAGTAACTCGAAGTGTTTCCTCTTTTACTTTCTTCAGCCTCTGTGCAGGATGTTGAATGCACAATGCCCCTCGTGTATAATGTGTGTGTTTGAGTCAGATTTTCCTTGTTGTACTTGAGCACCAAATGTTTTTGATGGTGATAATGATGTCCTCTGCTCATCACCAAACCAGATGGCCCGGACACCCCTGTACTGACCAAGGAAACGCCAAAAGATTGTGTCGGTGGAGGGGATGTGTTGTTGGGACAGGCGGCGCGCCTCACCTGCAATTCTGACTCGCTGCCCCCTGCCCTCTTCTCATGGCAACGTGATGGGCAGACTGTAGCATCGGGCCAGCCGGGCAGCGGGGTGCTCATCCTTCAGACTTTCTCAACCAATCAGAGCGGCCGGTACATCTGCACGGCCAGAAACAGCATCACTGGAGGCACATCGGAGCAGGGGACAGACTTGGCCATCGTGGGTGAGTTATGGTGGACGCTGACCTCCTTGTGACTGATAATGATGACGGTTGGTTTTGGACTCCGTCCCTGTATCTGTCTTCGCGACAGGAGAGGGACAGAAAGTATCCTGGGAGATTGATCTGGTGGGAATGTGGTCAAAGTCATTCAGTGACTTTCACACACACACACACACACACACACACACACACACACACACACACACACACACACACACACACACACACACACCAACTTTCCTCCCTTTATTTTCATTTCTTTCTCTCCCTCTCTCTCTGCTGTACTTTATCATCTTTTTTTTAGAATCTTCCCTCCTCGCCTCTATCTTTTTTTTTTTCTTTTCCTCTTGTCTGTCTGAGCTCTAGACTCATTATCTTTATTAATTCTGCCCCTTTGACACCATTCTTTCTATTTCAGACACGTGTCTGAACGTAGGGGAAGTGGTGGGGATCGTGATTGGAAGTTTGCTGCTGATCATAATCATTGTGCTCCTCATCCTGCTCATTGTTTTTCTCTTGCGAAGGAGGAGGGGTAAGTCTGTTTTCTCGATCATGGTCATTTTGTTTGTCCACTTTTCATTTAATTGTATATTGTGTTGAGTCAAACACTTTGTAAAAGAATGTTTTAAGGATCTCTATGTCCATTTGTACTTTCCATAATAGCTCAGCCAGCTTTTCTTGCACTTAAGTGTTATTTTGTTTGTTATTTCTATTACTACAGCTCAAAGGGATACTCTGGTTTATCCGAAGACAAACCCAAATCCCCATCTTATAGTAAGCCACTATAGCAGTTTACATATGATTCACCATTGATTTTGTCTTTATCTTGTCCATGTGATGGTACTTGAGGGCTTTTCACAAATTAATACCCCTATTCCATCTTTCTTCTGCTGTCTCTTCTCACCCTACCCTCATTTTTCATTTGCTCCCATTAAGCCTCCAGATCCACAACCTAATGGTGCAAGGGAATTGGGCCAAGGTCCCCACCCCACCCTCTATCACACACACACCCGCCAACCTGACCGCCTATACACCGCCGCGCGTGAAAACCGTGGCAACTCACAGGCACTGCCACTGAACGGCCTGCATATCTCTGACACACACCAACACAATGATCATACCCACACAAATGGAGTCCGACACAATGCTATTCAGAACACCAATTCATACCCACACAATGGCATTGACAACCCGGCTTTCACACACACTGATGCTCAGAATGCAAACACACTCACAAACACACAGCGGCAAAACTCTAACATTCTCATACAGGCAGGCACTGCCCAGGGCGGCACCCAACCTCCGGCGGTCCACGTCAGCCTTAACACACTGCCACAAACTGCCCAGCATAACAACAATGCACATATGCCCACCATTCATGTCAATCTTAACTCATACCCAGCCAACGGCCAACAGACTCAGCAAGACAGCTTATTTCCTCTTAACAACACAGCTAATGTCAACGCTTCACAAACCCAACAAAACCTGCCACATACAGAGCAATCAAGTCCCAGAATGCAAAGTGGGCAATCCTACCCTAGTGACTCCCGAGTGAATGGTCACATAGACGCAGCTCAGCCTGGACTTATACCAACTGGATACACACATTATAACAGTAATAACATTTCCCAGCGAAATGCAGACACACAGACCTACCAGCAGGACACAGGCCATCACAGCCGCTCTGACAGAAACTCAGAAAGACATGATGCCACGCCGCGCTCCGCCCGTCGACAGGTGCCATGGGATCACCTCCGAGGGACACCTTCGTATCCTGGTATGCATCAAAGAGGACAATCATCACCTGAGATCCCCTCTGACACTACAGACTACACTGCCCATCCTCCCATGCCAGAGCTAAGAACGCCAAACAGATCTCAGGCTCCACCTCAGAGCCAAAACACTTTGTGGAGCAGAGCTCCAACCAGACAAGAGGCACCATCAGTGCACAGACAGTCGCAAAGCCGTTCAGCTGATCTTCGAAGCCCAAACACTCGCAATGTAACACAGCTTGAGGCTGCACACAACACACACAGAAGCCCCCGCACACAAAGGGAGAGTGCTCAGCGAGACATCAGAGATCCGCCTCGTAGCCAGACCGCCCCCAGGCAGGAAGCCACACACAGAAATAACCCCCAGGCGCTGCCTCTCATGAGCCAGCAGGCCTCTGTAGGACACTCTACCATGTCACAAAGACCCACAACACAACAGGGACTGACTACACCACAGGGTGCAGATACAAGAGTTTTGGCTGATCCTAATCACCTTCCACAGGCACACATGGCCCACCAACATAGAGCAGCACCGCTCCAAACACCACCACAAGGTCTGGGCATGCAGTCACAGCCTGTCATACATGGTGCCAATCACCCTAGCCAAGGAGGCACAGTTCCAGTCCCATACCATTCTGCCCAGCCTAATTCCAGTAACCTAACCCAGGCCGCACTTAAATCCCACACTGAGAAGGCGCAAGTATTTCAGAATCGGAAACAACAGACCCAGGCTGCCCTGCTTCACCCAGGACTGAAGGCTCAAGCTCCTGCCGCTGGGGCTCAGCATCCACCAATTCCTCCTCCTGTTATACCCCTCGCACAGTTCCAGACCCTCCCCAAGGAGCGCACTCAACACAAATCCCCAACTAGACGTCCTCACCCCGCCAGGCCCCCCGTCAACATACCAGTGGCTCAACGAAACCTACAACAGCGGACCAATGCACATCGCCATCCTGGAAATGGCCATGTGCATGTCGGTGCACACAGGCATGCCCATGCCCACACCCACACCCATGCCCACGGCCACGGGCACCCTGCCCACTTCACCAACCCACGACAGGTGAGTGAGACACAGCATGAGAGTTTGAAACTGCAGCCAACAGGTGCCATATGTTTGCTGATTAAACAGATTTCCAGCACATGGTTCTCTCTCAGATGTACACTTGCAGCTGTCATATCATGTCATGCTTCCTGTTTACTTCCATGTGTGCAGTGTTGTAGGCCCACTTCTACCTGTACTGTCTCCTCAACAGTTTGTGCTTCTGTCTGCAGTAGGCATTGCTTGAAGGATGCTTGACAGCGCCCTTTAACTGGATGTTGCATTTTTATGATTGGCAGTCGTCCCTATGCCATAAAAATGTATTTAGTCTTGAGTGTTTGTGACACTGTGGCAGTTTTTAAAAGTAGCATTGTGTGTCTGAGGCTCTGCTTCTTCTCAGTGACATGTTGGCAATGAAGGGGTTGTTGTGTCTTTCCAGCAACAGGCTCACAGAGGGAGACCAAGATGATGACAGATGTCAGCAGACTACACTCTAGAACCGTCCCACATCCACTGACACAAACAAACAGCTGACAGACATGATCCAATATACCACCAAGCAAGACTGACTGCGTAAGGTTCTGCACTCAGAAAAGCTGTCACGCCATGGTATCTCATTACTAAAGTCATTGTTTTTTGTTTGTTAGAAATGAATGTGTCTTCCATGGGGATGATAAAATGTAACTTTTTTTTAATTCAGTCCTGCTTGACAAATCATCTCTAAGATGAAGGCTTAATCTGCCCTTTTCTAAATATTTACCAGTATGCCAAATGATACATGAAGGATTTTCACAGAAAATGTTCCTCCGTCAACAAAACCTCTCTCCAAACACACACAGACTCAGACCCACATGTATTGTACTGTTTTTGTTTTCTGGAGCGCTGGTCGAGCTTCAAACTTTGCCAAGAGTCTGCACAGAGAAGACAAGTTCAGTGATCCATAGCTCCTGACCAAGCTCACGTCCACTCATGCATTCCTCATGAAAACTAAACAACCCTACCTTGACAAAATGCTCTTGAGGTGCTTGCATGAATATCTGTGTCTTAGGAAGGTCTAATAGTGACAAACAGTAAAGTAAATGAGAAGGGGACCCTGCCTTGACCCTTAGGAGCAGTGACAATTATGAAAGAAGAAATTAGCCGTAGGGGGCTGGTCTTAATCTACGTGGAACTATTTATTTTGCACCCTCTGTTTACAGATGCCTCTTACTTCACTTCTCAATTAAGGAGATTCGCCTCAGTGCCGCTCGGAAGTAATGCTCAGCTAACTATGAAGGGGATACGACGACTGGATGGCGCTTATTAATTAGATGCTTTTATGTGACTTAAATGACTTGGAAAATAATCACACCCGCGTTTGAATGAGGGCTTCACAAAGACCTGAGCTGCCATGCTTTCTGCTGAAAAAGCACAGTGTTGCAATTTACTTTTCTTCACTGGGTCATGGACAGCACATTAAAAATGATTGGACGTCATTCTTACTTTTCGGATTATGTATTAATTGGTTTATAATGTTTGTTTTTTTTTGTACTCAGGGGTGTACTTGTGTAAACTGGTTATTTAGTTTGCACCAAGTGATATCAATGCTATTGTGATGAAATGTGATCAAATTCATCTGTACTTTAAAAAATAAGGCTGGTGATAGTCTATATTTTTCTTATTGTCAATGTCCCATGTCAAGACTAAAACTAACCATGACCCGATTGTACTCACAAGTATTGTGTGTGTAGCCAAACTCATTCTAAAGCTGTAGACAAGAGCTCCACTGTTGTCCAGATACTAATAAAAACAGATTAACCAGCCACACTGTTGTACTGGGAGACATGGTCCATCATTACGGTAAACATGGTCGCAGCAGTTTGTTTGAGTTAATTGCACATATATCATCATGCTGCTGTAACTACTCACTAGAGCACCAAATGTGTATTAATCCCCCGCTGAAAATAGTCCCAGACAAATGCGCTATTTAATGCTGTGTGAGCAACGTTTCCTAAAAGCTACAGTGCCCAGCTGTTTCTGGAAATGAATTAGCCCCTTTTGAAAACAAAACTACATATTTGCAACCTGTTTCTGAAGTTTTCAGTTTTCAGTAGAAACAAATAGACGTTGAGAGACGAATTAGAGCCCAGTTGGTTTTTGTCTTTTCATGGGACTTGTTGAGAATTAAAAAAAGAAAGAAAGAATAATCCGTCTTTTGATATCAAAATACATATTGAACACATCACATCTGGTGGCCCCAACCTTACATCTGGAGCCTGAGATTTATGTTACTGCCTTGAAAAATTGTGCCGTTTTTAAAAAAATTAATGCTTGTAAATAATTTATACAGATGTTGAATATCCATGTGTGATGCTTCAAGCACACTATTATTATTTATCTTTGCTCCTCAGGAAGGGTTTGTACATTGTGCGGGTTTTATGAAATGTTCCAAGATCTTATTTTATCAGTAACAATAAAGGATTTTTGTCATTATGTGTGTTTTGCATATAACCCGGGCAAAGTCTACTGTGAACAAAACCATGGAACATTGGGTTGTTATTTCCATCCACAGTGGAAGTCACTTGCCTAGACTATTCACAGCAGGACTTTATTTTACCTCCACTTTCAAAAATGAACATATTTTTTCAAAACATGAGGATCTTTTCATTTTCAGTAGAAAAAAAAACCTACTCACACATGTTGGCAGTACGTTAGACCACAAAAGCACCTATTTATGCTGGTGTTCCTCTGAATCACAGTGCTGTTTGCAGTCTGGGCATATTTCTGTTCACTCTGTCTATAGTGCTAATTATGCATGGCGCCTCTGTACACCGAGCACTGTTGTTGATTCTCCTCAGATAAATCTGTTCCTTCGGTTTGTTGTGGAGGTGCAGAGCGTGTGTTTGGATCACAGCTCCATCAGTCTCCCAATCCCCTGCTCCCACTTGTACGTCACCTCTGATGAACAGTCCTGTGGCTCACTATTGGAGACACTTCACGGTAGTCTAGCACTGTAATGAGTGGAGATGGAGTGCATTTGAGTACCTGCACTAGAAAAGGTTACAGCATTGCCTACCGGTTCCAGATGAAAGCTGTGATTTATGAAAAGTTTGGAGCAGTTTTACAAATGCACCACTTTGTATACTATACTTTGTCTTTGGAGTGAAGTGTGTTGTTTATGGGCTACACAACTGAAATTACAAGGCACTCTGTAGTCTTGAAACACACAACAGCAAACCTCAAACGCTGATGTGGCCACCTTCCCTGGGCCAATTTGCATGTAAATCTGCTCGTGTTGTTTTAGTATTCTGATTTACCGTGATTTACTGTGACTGCTGCAAGTAATTGTAATTGTTTATGCTTCCCTTTGGAGGCATAAATTAAAGGCAAACATAACTGAAGTGCGGTGTGTGCAAATAGGGCATTTTTTGTGTTGATGAATGCACGTTACGGTGTGTGTCAAACTGCAACAGTGAGCCTCCCTGACTCAAGTGTGGAGGGAGCCAGTGTTGATTTCTCTCCGGAGACTGCAGTAGATTTTCTCAGAAAAACTTAATACCACAAGATGGCCAGTATAATTCTAATCCAGTTCTAATTTAAATTCAGTCTAGCTCAGCAGGCTCACATATTCTCATAGATGTGATGGCATTTTGAAATAACAGAGGAGGTGTCATAAGGCCCAGACAGACTTTAGTCCAATTAACAAATATCTCCAAGTGAGTTAAAGATCATGATGTCGCCTTTTTGGCCACATTTGCTCACTGCAGTGATGCCACATTTTCTCCACCGCCAGGGAAAAGAAAGGGGTCAGGCATAGTAGTCCTATCATCACTAAAATGAACTGGTAAATCCTTTGAGATCCACATGTCCATCCCTGTCAGAGTGTCCTTGAGCAAGACACCGAACCTCTGCCTCTGCGCACTGACCCCCTTTAGTGAAATTGCACATGAATATGAGTCTCAGAGGGATATGAAATGAAACAAATTTATGATTAAACTTTACACACAAGGGAAACTGAAAAAAAAAAAAAAAAAAACTGAACATTTTAGAGTGTGACAGAATGACCCTGAATTTATAGCTTCAGTCTGCGCCACAGCCATCTATCCATTCATAATGTCCTTGAGCTGGACAGTGAATCCCCAACAGTTCACTAACTGTAAATCGCTCTAGATGGGAGTGTCTAAAATGTAAATCATAAGCTAAAACTGCACTGTGGCAGTCAGGGACTCCATCCCTGCTCATCCCACAAGGGGGAGCCATGTGAGAGGACTTCTGAGGTTATCTATTGATCATTTCCCACCATTTCTTCTCCCCACGGCCTTCACCATCTGTGCAACTTTGATGGTGGCTGCAGAAATTAAAAAACAAGCCATAGGCAAAGTTTTTCTTGTCTTTAGTCCAGCACAGAAAAAAAAACTGTACAACCAAATACTGTTGTGTGCAGCGACAAGGAAATCCGCAGTTGTCACAGAATTGTTTATGGATGCTTAAAGGTGAACTGCTGCCTTCAGTGATACACATCAAACACAATGGCTTCAAAGAGTTTTGCGTTTTATCGTAATCTTTTGTTGATTCAATTGAGCATATCATGTTGTGTTTCATATTTTCACCATGCTTTCTCTTTCAAATAAAGGCAGATTCTTTTACAGATATTTCTCTGTAAAATAAATCAGAGACAATTCTGTGGAGTCCTTGTAGAAAGCATTTCCAATAGATCTTAGATGTCATCTGTGGCATTGAAATATAACAGTGAAAAATCTATTTGTCTTTGATACTGTTCTGTAGGTGTGGGTATTCACAGATGTTTCCCATTGTTAAGAAACAGAATTTTTAAATGATTAAGCATTTTAGGTTTTACAGTGAAAGTATTAGACATTATAGCTCTCTAGCATAGTGGGCTGTAGTGGAAAACGGACTTAAAATAAAACTACACATCACACCCACCATAATGGCGCAAAATCTAATTTCTACCAAGTATTTTTCAAGGAAACAGAGGTTCACAGTTTGCAGAAGCTGCCAGATGACAGTTCACAGAAATCCTTTGTTAGATGTTCAAAGAGAGAGCAGATTCTTCGAACTGCGGTGCAGATAGTTCTCGTAATTAAGCCATGTGTTGCAGCAAGAAATCCAATGTCAGCAGAAAAAAAAGAAAGATGATTGTACCAAACAGAGCAGATGCAAGAGTACAGTAGTGAGCTGCAATAATAGAAAGGAATGAAACCCATAACATTAAATGTTTTTTTAGTTTCACACTCTGTTTACTTCACTTCTGTCTTTCTACTCATTTTACTCGTGACACAAACACGTTAGTTTTATGAGTCTTATGAAGGCTTAACGACATGTAACACTTCTCGGAGGAATTAGTGTTGTCACAGTGAACATTCCTCTACAAAAATAACGGATGCTACAGTTCTGTTAGACCTTCACTTTTGCTGAATAGCAGCAACTAAGGCCACAAGTGAAATTTACTGGCTAAAGGTAAATGCTAAAATGTAGTGTAACGGTGGCACAAGTAGAAAATAGTCATAAAGTTAGTGCATTGATTCAATAATGTCAGCAGTATCTGTCACATGCCAGACCAAGAAAGGCTGCAGCAGCAAAAACCCCTGAGTGTCTTGACTTGAAGAAAGAGAGTGTTTAACTGCTGCTGAATTCAACTTCTCATCTGTTGAAAAGTGAGTCTTCTTTCAGAAGTGAAGTGAAACTTCAAGGACAGGAAACTCACATAGTATATTGCTGCTCAGGCTCTACATGAGCAATACATGCCAGTTAAACCACCCACACACCTTAAAGTAGAGAAGATATTCACACATCCCAACATACCAACCAGAGGTGGCCGAGATCAGGTGGCGAATCCAGTAGCGCTGTACAGATCACAGGAGTTTCCATAAAGTGAGTGTGTCTCTCTATGACCTGCCCAACAAGTTGTGCAAATGATTATGGGAGTTTGCTTTATTCATCAGTTCAGCCTAGAGCCCCCCTGCTTTGAACACTGTCATGCTGAGGTACTGTAGGTAGGTCTCTGTATGCACAGTGCACTAAAAGCCTGATTAAACAAGCAGGCGCCTTCCTGTCCTTCATGTCATGCCTGGAGTGAAGACCCACATACCTTTTTATCATAAGCCTGTCAGCAGAGCTTTAAATACCCTGCAGGACAGAGGCTATACTCTACTATTAGCTTGACTTCTATTTGCATGACTTAGACTGGATAGATTTCATTCACTGCTTGACTGGTTTGTGCTTCCAGCCTACTTTCTGAAAAGTGAAAACCAGAGTAAATCAAAAATACTTCTTGGTTGTAATCCATGCTAGATTAAGGGTATATAGAATCTCTATCTCTGTGGGTGTTTATTAAAGCCCAGCCAATACAGAAACATCCATCAGGTTAGCTTATCAAAGAGTTTTGACAAACATACAGTGTATGCACTGGGGGCAGGGTATTGTACACTTGTACTACTATGTGACTGCAAAGCTGTGATCTGCTTCGCTGCCAGCTCACGTGCTGCAGACTAGTGTAAACTATGGACCCTGCTGAACACACCAAGTAATGATGCCACTGTTTTTAAATTACCCCATGTGTTCCTTCTGCACTGTGTACTGTGTGTATTTCCAGCCACCATCCGAGTTAATACAGATATACTGTTATCAGCTGACAGTAATGGTCAGGCTCTTGTTTACATCCCTGCATCCTTGTTAAGTACAATATGTGGCCTCAGTGAGCGAATGTGTGTAATCTGATATGGATGTGTTGCCCTACTTATTTGGGCTCAGCAGCTCAGCCTGACTACTTTTAAATTCTAAATATATCTTTTACACCCACAGTACGATGACAATTTTCTTTTGATTGACAGTTGAGTCAATTGTATTTATCACCGTTTTAGCAACTCATTAAAAAAATCAAAGTTGAGTCAAATTTGCTGCCATTGGTCTAAAAAAAACTTAGTGTTTAGTGCGCCTTAGAGTTTTAATACAAAAAACATAAAATAAATAAAAACACTTTACTTTAGTCCCTTATTTAGAATTTATAAGCTGCGAATGAACACTGTGATTGAAAGGTATGTTGCAGTGAGAATAATGTGCCATGAGAGTTCACTTCATTAATTACATTTATTATAAAAGATGTGGCTGAAGGCTCCTTAAGAAATCTAGTAAGTTAAACAGGTTTTGTAAACTAAACTGAAACTTGAAACTCTGTCATATAGTTGATCCTCATCAATCAGTTTTGCAGATGAAGGTATAGTGTTTCCACAAAGTTAAATGTCTTACAGGTATCTGCTTACAACTACATTATAGTGTGTTATAAACCATTTATTTAGTGTTTAAATGCTGCTTTTAGATGCTAAAAAATGGAAGAGCTAAAAAGGAACAAAAAATAAGTGTTACCAACAAAAAACACACGCAAAAAAGAAAGAAAAAATTAAAATAAAATTTATCAAAGATGATGTAATGTTGATCACAGACGTGAGTACAGGGGCTGACATACAGGTCCT